GGTGATCTGGAGCAAAAGTGGTGAAAACAAGGCCATGTGTAATTCCTATGCCATTGTCTCTGATGACAATAGCCATGAAAAGAAATCTCTGGCAGTGTTTATGGACGAAGTACTGAGTATCTTTGTCAAAGAAAAAATCCTGATGTTCAAGAAGTTCACATTTTCTTAGACGCACCATGTTCGCAATTTAAGATTAAATATATGATCCAGCTACTTCACACTTTTCAGAAGAATCTAGGAGCAAGAATTTCATGGCATTACTTTGCAACCTCACATGGGAAAGGTGAAGTTGATGGGGTTGGAGGCACTGTTAAAATGACAGTCTGGAGTGCAGTCTCTACAAGAAAAGTGGAAATAGTGACGAGAGCAAAGTCTTTTGCTGATGCTGCCCAACAGTTTTGTCAGTCCACCAGCATAACTCGTATCACAAGAAAGAATACTGAAGAGGTGTCCAAAAAGCTTAACTTAAGCTTAACTGGAAAAGGTCTTCCAGGATGCCAAATCTGTACCAGGAATAAGCAAGTTTCATTGCATGGAGATAAATCCCAAGACAAGACGTGTGAAATTTCGTCTGAACTCAGCGCAAGGGACACNAGTCTTTTGCTGATGCTGCCCAACAGTTTTGTCAGTCCACCAGCATAACTCGTATCACAAGAAAGAATACTGAAGAGGTGTCCAAAAAGCTTAACTTAAGCTTAACTGGAAAAGGTCTTCCAGGATGCCAAATCTGTACCAGGAATAAGCAAGTTTCATTGCATGGAGATAAATCCCAAGACAAGACGTGTGAAATTTCGTCTGAACTCAGCGCAAGGGACACATGTTAAACAGCTAGTGCAGCCTTTATGCAGTGAAGATGAAAGTGATCCTGACCAATAGAATGATGAGATGTTTAATGAAGTGCTCAGTGAAGAGAATGGTGATGACTATGAAGGAGACAGTGATTTTGATGAGAAAAGTAGTGGTGATAGCGATGATGTTGATGGTGATGATGATGATGATGATGTCAGTAATGGTGACAAGAATAATGATGATGATGATGATTATGACAGTGGAGACACCACTTCTCACTACATAACTAAGCCTCTTATTGTGAATGGTCATTCAATACAGCCTGGTTTGCCTTAAGAGTTTGTCTCTGTATTGAATAACATTCGTCCCAGTTTTTCAGTTCCAGCACACAACAATCTCCTTATTGAGATGATTGTTAATGGCGATATTGCTTTTGGTGAAAGTGACCTTATTGCTAAGCCTGACCTTGAGGCTCTTTATGGAAGGGGACCCTCAAGTGTGTCTAAATGACTACCAAATTTTGTCATTGATGCACTCTAAAAATTGGTCAAGTCCTCTGTAAGTGGTTTCAAGATAGAAGTACTCTCCTGGGAAGAATTTGAAAGAGGAGTTGGTAACAAGACAGCTGCTGAAGTCACAAAAGGCAAAGGTCCACTTCTTGAGCAGGACATGATTTTTGTTCCATGTAACCAACATTAATTACATTGGTACCTCCTTGCTGTGTTACCATCCAAGAAGTGCATTCTAGTACTTGACAGCAAGAGTGGGGACTTTGTTAAACCAACTGCTTTCCAGTCAGTTAAGAAGATGACGTCATTTGTGGTTGATGTTGACAACACTATTGGTGTTAGCCAGTGGCAGTTTTACTCCAGTAAAGCAAAGGAGATTCCACAACAGCATAATGACTTCGATTGTGATGTTTTTGTATGCCTGTATGCCAGATGTTTAGCGGGTAGTAAGATGCTGACCCAAAGCAGTATTCCAGAATTCAGGAAAGCCATGATCTTGGAACTCCATGACACAGTTCTCCATTCCATACCACCCGTGGGGTTCTTGCCTGGCGACTACTATGCTGTAGACTACGTCAAGAACTACTATTTTTGTAGAGTGCTTGATGCAAGTGGCCATTTGTAAAATTCAAGTTTCTTCACAAAGTTGGTGCAAACACATTTGATTGGCGAGAAAGGGATGACATTGATGCTCCCCATATATCTTACATTCCTTTGGTCCTGTCAATCTCAAATACAATCGACCATTCAAAATTGAGAAACAAGCAGTTGTGGAGAAGGTATTCAAGGTTTTGACGAAAAAACATAAGTCGAAGAAGTAAATGTAAATGTTTTGTTGTCACAGGTGTATGTTACTTGGTCAAATAAAAAAGCGTCTTTGTTAGTTTATATCGGGCTTATACAACAGCTATGAGAGAAAAGAATTCCTTCAAACTTCATGGACGTTACGTAACGTCCATGTCAATAATTCTGGCAGTTACTATATTCTCCGAAAAAATGGAATTTGAAAATACTTTGGTTTTTGGTGGAGAACTTTCGTTACACTAAACATTTAATGTTACAAATTATCTTCATTAAACTCAGTTGTTTGAATCATGGTTAAAAGATTATCGCATTCACTGTTACCTGAAAATGACTCTTTTGGTAGTCGCTTACTTTGGGTCCCCCCTCAGTACCGAACGGTGGATCTGCACTTAGTCCTGATGATTTTTGAAACTTCAGTCCTCATGCATTTTAGTTATGCCCTTAAATTTTTTTTTTTTAATTTTATTTCAAAAATTGTCCTTTTTTCTGTTCTCATGTGGAATGACCCTTGTGTGTTTGTTAAGCCACTCGACTCACTTAGGGATATTACCATCATCAAAACCAGAACAGTAACTCCGTATCTTTAACTGTTTGCTGAGGGAGTTTTTTGCTTTTGGTGTAAGAGGGAATTTGCTCTCCTAGTTTAAAAGCTACTTGACAGATCGCTGGCACCGGCATATCACATTTTTGGACTTTATGACTCCGCACTCATTCACCTTGGGCGCTTCCTTGAGACTGATGCACATACCAATATCCAGCTGTTTTAGTAAGTTACAGGTTTCCTTTGCAATGAAGCAACGAAACTGAATACAATGCCCAGACCTATGAACTCCGACATTTTTCATCCCAGGAGACCTCGGGGAACTCTTTAAGTGGTACTTAGTTGCGTTTCCACCCATAGTCATAAAAGCTATCTCCATGTTTAGATGTTTAGGGGTCCATTAGCATCACAGCAGGAGCACCATGGTGTGACCATGGAGATCGCTTTCCGCCACGAAAAGCCAGAGGCGAAAAACATGGCCCACAGGTAAAGATAAATAATCCTTCGGTGAATACGAACGTTTACTTACAGCTGGTAATGCAAACTTCCTCCATATATAAGCACCTCCAAATATGAGTACCTCAAAAAAGGCCTTTGACAATTGTAGGAGGGAGAGAGACAGAGATGTTTAGTTTTTCTCTGCGGAAGCTGAGTTAAAGTAAATGAAAGATGTCTATATCTTTCAGCGGTTTCGAGTTAACATCAGTTTTGGACAAATAGTTAATATTAGATTCGGAAAAGGAAAACTAGGTTTTAACCTTTGATACAATAAATCTAAGCTAGGCTTATAGAAAGAAATCAAAAAATATGGTAAGCAATCGGTCCAATCTATACTTGAAAATGTTCCTTTGGTTGCAGTCACTCAAATCCTTGGGTAATTTATTCCCAAAAATGCACTCTTATAGCCAAAACGGATTATCGTTTTTTGTTACATTCATCTCATTTCTTCGTACAAATTGATAGTCGAGTATTCACATACACCCCGCTGGAAGCTAGAAGCCCATACTGCCCAGTTGCCTTGGGCATTCTCTATCTAGCCAGGCGCAGGGTAATTTATCAAGGATCCCATTGAAGCCTGGGAGAGCCAGGATTTCAAATGAGACAAGGAATGCAAGACTGGCCGCTCTTCTGCCAAGCAGATACTTCAACACAAACTCTTAAGGTGAGATCATACCGTCCAGTGCATTTAGTTGGGAGAAAACAATGTGATCCTAATGTCTACTACTTTATGACACTAACATTCCTTTTTAACCATGTTTCTAAAATTAATTGACTGAGATCACATCTTTCTAATACAGTTGGCGGGGCAAAGTGTTTTTTTTGGGGGGGAGGGGAAGATGGTAGCTTCCTTTATAATATCTTCTTGGTTTTGTGCATACTGATGTGTTCTTTTTCAAACATTCTTGTATTCAGTCAGAACAGCTAAATGCCCAACAAATGGCCATAATGTTCCAGAACAGTGTGCTGGATGCAGGATTTGTTGCGCGGGAGCTCTCACACAAATCATAGAGAAGTATGCCTGCATCGTTTATCAAATATAATGCCCCTAGCGATTCGTGGACTTGTGCAGTTATGTGAAACACTTTCATTTGTCAACACTAATCATTCAAACGTTAACGCCAAAACGAAAAGCAAATGATTGCAATTACCCATGCCACTCGATAATGGCTTTGTCTTTACCAATTTCATGCAATACACTTTGCAGACACTGAATGGGCGGCAAAAGACAAGTAAATCATAACGATCAATAACAAGCACTAAAATTCACTTCGTACAATGTAATGCAGACATTACTCAGACACCTTATTTTGGCACACGGGCTTCACAGATGGACTGTACAATCAGACTCTTGTTCCCTTCTTTTGGGCTTCGCAACAAGATTTGTGCTGACGGCCGCCATGGAGAATGGCGGCCGCTTTACGGATGGTCAAGTGGACCAGCAACGCTGCTTGGGGGGCTGGTCGGTCACTTCGGGGGTGGTCCACCTGGACGTCAAGAAGATAATCGAACAGTATTCCAACAATGCTGGACTAATAACTCTTGTTAGGTATTGATTGAAGTTGCACATGCGAATAAGAGATAGATACAGACTATGATAAGCACGTACTCCACGTTGAGAACCACAGGTTTTTTAGGGAAAACACAAAATCATTTGCTTAAAACAGCAGTACTCAAAAAGTTTATGAATATTGGTTAGCTTTACATGTACTTTGATATTGTTAGGATCCCTGTTGTTCAGTCAGAAGCAGATGTGCACTTAATGTCATCACAAAACGAATCCGTTGCATGCCAGAAGGGAATGTGGCTTTTCTTGTTGTTTCAGAAAAAAAAGTAATGTTCCTTTTCCCTTATAAGGATTACGCACCCCTGAGGAGAGGCAGCAGAGGCTACGCGGCATTCCAACCGCCTACAATTATAGGTTGGAAGCTCCTGTAAGGGACTTGAAAAGTCAGGCAGATGCTAGTGAATCCTATCCCGAGGAATTGAAGGCATTTGTTGACAACTATGAGCCAATTGAAAAAGGCACGGGGTAAGTTAAGAATGGTTTGCGCACCCCTGAGGAGACGCAGCAGAGGCTACGCGGCATTCCAACCGCCTACAATTATAGGTTGGAAGCTCCTGTAAGGAACTTGAAAAGTCAGGCAGATGCTAGTGAATCCTATCCCGAGGAATTAAAGGCATTTGTTGACAACTATGAGCCCTTAAAGACGGCACGAAGTAAGTTCAGAATTGCCACCCTCAGTTAAAAAATTTGCAATTGATCCGGAAATAGCAACACCAATCCTTATCACCGTAAGTTAGGAATCCTAGGGAAGCTCCCATATTGCAATAAAAAGTTGTGCTCCTTCTCCCCCAGTGTGAACTTTTTGGGCTTATGTGAAGCAAATGCGCAAAAACCAATATAGAGGAGGCGAAGCAATATCACTACTATTTCCAAAAATGTAACCTGTATGCTGTGTACTGTTTTCTCCAACACGCCTTTCAAAAATGCAAACCAGTTTATGGTCAGAGTGCAGAATCGGGGAAATGAAAGAAGGTAAATGTACAACAAGCCTTGCCAAGAATACGAATGGATCGCGAATTACAGATGTAACAACTGAGAAAGATCTTGGTAGCCACATTTCCTCAACACTATCATGGAATGATCATATTGACCTTTTCATCAATAGAATAAATAAAATGCTTGGCCTTTTTTATAGAACGTGCACGAGTAAATGTGATCAAATAACTTTGTTGACTCTTTATAAATCGTTGGTGCGACCACAATTAGAGCACGCTTCACAAGTCTGGTCACCTTATACTAAAGGAAAAGTCTTGGCCACAGGGCACGTTCAAGGGCGTGCAACCAAATTTATTTTGAAGTGTGACTTTTCAATAACATATCCTGAACGTTAAGTCAAATAAGGTCTTTTTGCCTCTCGAGTTTAGAAGGGACGTTTTAGATTTATTCCTTTTTTTAAAAACGTCTTTATGGACCTTGACGCCCAGTTGTATGTTAGTTTCAAGTCCTCTTAGTATAGCATGAAAAACTCAGAAGCAGTACTATTTAAGGGTCGCTTTAGAACTCGTTTTTCAACTTTCATTTTTTAATCGCATTGTAGCTTTATTGAATGACCTGCCTGGAGCCATAACAATAACTGATGAGTACTGTTACCTTTGTTTAGTAACAAAGTTAATGAACTTCATATTGATAAATTTAATTCAATATATAAAGAATTTTATGGTCTTGTTACTGTTTTTAGCATACGAGATTTTATAACTCTATCTAATAAGCTCATAAACAAATTGTACGATAATTATACCAAACGCTTCAACGAATTCAAATCTAGGTTTAGAATTTTCTTATACATAGTTTTTTTCATTTTATTGTTTATTCTAGGCAAATTATTCTTATAAGGAATCCTCGTGTTCTGTATAAACTGTCCTAATTATGCAGATATCACTTATACATATGTTGTTTTCTTCGATTTTAATTGTATTATTTTGAATATCTGTGTTATTGAATTGAGTAAATAAGTAAACTTGGTGATTTGTTAGTCTTCCAGCATATCAGATAATAGTGATAAGATGAACATTTGAGTGTCATAAGCAAAATCATCAACAAATATTTTCAACTTTTTAGCACCTATTAAATGAACATCCCAGCCCTTGAAAGCTGGGAGAGAGCTTAATTAAGTATCTGAGAAAAGAGGTCGATGAAGTAGACAAAAGGAGGCCTCTTTTTGACCCACACTTTCAGCATATCTTGGATTGCCAGGGGTTGGAAACACCTGTTGAGTATCATGAACAAACTCACCAATAAACATTTTCAACTTTTTAGCACCTATCGAATGAGCATCCCAGTCCTGCAAGTGCAAACCTAGAGTTTGGAGCAAGTTTAATCAAATACCTGCGAAAAGAAATCGGACAAGTAGACATTTTGCCAAAGAGGCCTCTCTTTGATCAGGATTTCCAACATATCTTGGATTGCCAGAGGTTGGAAACCCCCGCTGCACTACAAAGTAAGTCGCATTCCTTCCCCAAAAAATAATAGAATGCATTCAGAAGTAGATTTTAGGTTATTATCGATGCTGGTAAGATGGTACTGGTGGAAGTGACTTGTGACGACGACCAGAGAATAATAGAGAAAGTATCATGAGTGACAAATTCTTGTGTTGTCCACGTTTAGACTAATCTATGTAAGCTGAATATCCACAAAAGCCATAAAACAATCAACAGTACTTCTGCAGCACCTTCAAATTACTAGGCGTGCAAACCTGAAACCACTGTTGAACATCACCACAAAGATTATAGTGAAAGTATGCAAGAAGCAATAACAAGTGACAAAACGTGCTGCTATTCATTGATTAGGTATATACTAAAATTACATGTGCACATTATATAGACTTTGAGCTTCAGTGGCAAGAGATAGTTGCAAAAAGTTTTATCCCACAACTAATGTAAACAGTACTGTGTTGCTCAAATAGTAGCAAATGCCAATGCTACAGTCTTTGCTATTTTGACTTTCACTCTTGTAATGGCGCTATTGCACAGTATGTCAGCTCACTGTGGAGCAATGAGATAGGCAGCCTCAGAGACGACCTTGAACCCTTATCCAGGGGCTCAAGGAATAAAGGTTGGGGATGTGGAGTTTAGGTAAGTCTTATTAATGACATATTATCTTTTTAGTTTTTTGTTCCCAAATAAAGTCATGGGTAGACCGGCTATCATTCAAAATGATAAATTCCATGTTTCTCATGACACCATTTTGGCAAACGTTTGTAGGTATTTGACACAATAGTAATAATAACTATGATGGATTGCTTTGAAACAGAATACATTTGATCCGTACAATTGCACATTCTCCATACCATTGTCGAGTCTTTCCATAACATTCAAAGGAGGAAAATAAAAGAAGAAATTCTTATCCTAACTAGCTCGGGGTTTGATCCCATAGCTTTTAAGGACCCTTGTATTTTATTAAGCACAAACACTTTGAAGAGTAATAAGATGAGGTCTAAGGAAGGAACAGTGAAACTGCAAAAAGGGAAATGTACCTTGGCGTTTCACATGAGAAACCAGACGCTGCAAATCGCCAACACAAGTAAGAATACCCATTACTGTTGCACAATTTTTTTTTTTTAACGATCAGGTGACAAGGCTTGGACGACATTTATTCGGGAATCAGTGTTTTCCTTATCAGGCGGTAACGGGTAAAAATTACCGCTGGAAGCAACACTTCTTACTGCCAGCAACGGCCTTAAGGTTTAACAAAATTAAAGAAGTACTTTCAACTCACCAAGTTGCGATCAATTTAGCCGCCATGGCGCCTAAAATTTTGAAGCTGGCAACTTGATTTGGAAAAAAGTCTTCCTAAACCAAAAGAAATTGGTCCCCATTTGGCGACCAAGCAAAAACTTTAATTTCAGGGGTTGAGTTTTTAAAAATGCACAAGTTTTGATCCGATCCCATTCTCACATGTTACAAAATAAATGAAAATATGAAGAAGTACTGAAGTACACACAGCTCTTCTATATTTTATGGGCCACGCATTTTGGACAAAGACCATTAAAAACAGAGCAAAATTATTGGAGTCAATCGCTTTAAATATATTTGTTGTGTAAAGGTAATTATGGCCAATTTGCATAAAATAGGTCTGAAAATGAGGGAATGACGTTTCAGAGAACTTAGCTCCTCCTAGCAAGGGCGGGGCCATGTTCCACACTCCAAGGCCCCTCCCCCTCCCCCCCACGAAAGTGTGCCTCAGGCACATATTTTTTGCCTCACTGGCTATGAATGGTCCCCCACCTGCTGAGCGGAAAGTTAGGTAGAACACTGGAGTTGAGAAGGAGATTCTACAGAGGTGGGGTGTCTGCCCATCATGCTATAAATTATTCCTTTGTCTGCATCTAGGTCCTACCCTACTCTTGGCTCTGTAAGAGGCAAATGTAAGGGTAAATTTCAGCTGTGTTGAAAGGTTTACATATACCCCTTATTAACACAGTATCAAAGCACTGAAAATGTACAAAATAATGCCATGTCTCCTAATTCCCAGGACTTCCACAAGAAAAATAGAACCAAAACGGACCCTTTTTTCGATTCCCTTCCTTATTGTTGTATTTACTCGGCAAATTCAAATCTTAGTGACAACCCTGATTGGATTCCTTGCCAACTGATTGCGTTTCTTTTCCTAGACGAGTCTTTGTGTTCACACCGCTGGAGCCGGGCAGCCCATATTGCCCCGTAAGCCTTGAATTTTTACATCTTGCCAGGCGCGAGGCATTCAGGCTAAGCCCTGTGGAGGCCTGGCAGACTAAGGACTTCACAGTCAAGGATGGTGTGGCAGAGTGGCCCCTGTTCTGTAAGGTGGACCTTTCCACCCGTAAATTGAAGTCAAGTAGCTGCATCCACTTTCATTGCAGGAAAATGGCTAAATGTGTGAATCACCACTGCCGTCTGCAATGATAGTCAGCACAAATTATTGAAAATCAATTAACTACAAGTTTATCTACCACTCTACAGAATGAACAGGTCACAACAGAGGAGATGCGAAACCATTTTCACACCAGCGTGTTGAAAGCGCAGTTCAACACGAAAGAAATATCGCATCGATCTTACAGACCAGTAAGTAACCAACTACATCCTTGAAATTAAAGTAACTGAAACCAAAAACCTTTGGTCATTTGAAAATGTCCAGTATTTGCATATGTTGAATTTCAGCATGCACATCATGTAATCCTAGCCACATGTTTTACAAACCCTGATTCCAAGTCTGCAGTAAATGTGCATGGGTTTATAATAATAAAATTATTGATTTTGTCAAGTTTAGTCACACTATTATACAGTGTTCTCCTTATCAGGTGGTTACCGGTAAAATGTATTGCCTGAAGAAACACCTCTTTCCGTCTGCAGCTACTTGAAGGTTTAATGACAAATTAAATAAATAAAAAGTAGTTTTCAAAAATGCGCAAGTTGTGATCCGATCCGATTAAGGAAATGAATGAATATGTGAAAAAGTGCGTAAGTATCTACAGCTTTCCTTTTTCACAGTGGCTATTCATACGGACCCGTACACCGACTCGTATTTGCTATTCAAACGGGAGCTAAGGGGATGAAGTCTCTTCTGGAAACTTAGATGAAATGTCTAATATAAGCCTCTTGAAATTTCTGGTCAACAAATTTCCATGAAAGAGTTAGTCTCTTTAACCATTGTTCAATTTTTAATGAGAAATTTCAGTGGTAAATTTGACAGGAAAAAAAAATTGGTGTGGCTAAATTGAGAATCAATCCCGGGGTGTAGTCTTGACCACTTTATTTATACAACGGAGTATTCGAATTCAAACGGGTCCCGTATGAATAGCCACTAGGTTTCTTTTTATGGACCAGACATTTGGGGATTACTTACACATTACAAAGGCTTGTCCATAGCTCATTTACCTCATGTACATCTCTTCTTTATTTGCAGGGGTTTGCCACACGATTTGTCCTTTCCTCAGCCATCGAGAATGGGGGGAATTTCACCGACAACCAGATTGACCAGCTCCGGAGACTTGGACCCCAAGATCGGCAATTGTCCACTTGTATCACAAAAAAAATATTGAAGAATACACTGACGTGGCCTCTCTTCTCAATCCAGGTATGTCCATGTTAGTGTTCCACTGTATATGGAGGCGTTTGCTAAAGTAGCAGAGGACATGAGCTAATTTATTCAACCTTTTGGACAAATGATGGACGTTAGGTGAACATTATTAGTTACATCACTTGAACAACCCATTTCAGTAACAGACTATTGTGACATAAAACGAAAGCACACTCAGATTGGTCAATTTTTATCATTGCTGAATGCAGTGTAAAACTAACAGGTGCACATTATGATCCATTGCCACCACATATCCACTACCTGTGAACAAATTAATATTGCCTTGTAGGGGTCGCCTACTGTAGACACAAAAGTATGAGCCCTTGAAACTCGAAGAATATCAGAGACTGATAGTCATCATATAAAGTGATGAGGTATGCCAAAAGCCTATAGAGCTTTCACGCTTGACAAGTAATGCAGACAACCCTCCCTGGGGTTCAAGAATTACTTCCCTCCAAACCATTCAAATGCTTTAGACATTCCACTATATTCAAATTCTCTTGGTGTTTGGTGACATTTTTGTCTGGGGACAGCAACATTGAATTCCTGGTTAATCTCTCATATACTTTTGCAGCCTATTCTAGGATTGCAAATAGCTTCATTTCATAGGATATAAAATGCAGTTCACTTTCAATTTGCATCAGAGTTGATGTTTCAGTGCCTTGACAACAATGTTACATCTCTTAAACTATGTACCTTTTCTTCCAGGACTAAGAACACCATTGGAGAGGGAGGAGAGGCTGAGGCATATCCCGACTGCCTATAACTACAGACTTCAGCCTCCTTTGAAGAACATCACCACACAGAGGGAGGCTGAAGAGCCAGGGTTGTATCTAGGATTTATCATTTGGGGGAGACGTCCTGATTGGCCGAAGGCGACAAGCCTCCTAGAGGGGTCCGCCCCCCCACCCCCCACCCCCGGATGAAATCTGGTGCATTTTGAGACACAATTTTGAGAAATGTTATAGTGTGTGCACTAACCTCGTCGCGTCTTGATGATTTTTTGGATATAGTCACTTATATACTGTAATGATAACAATATTTCTGGGGGGGGTGGAAGCTGGGCATTCTGGGGGGGAAGCTTCTACCCTTCAAATACCCTGATAGAACCCTGAGAGCTGTACCCAGCCGAGTACTGGCCTTCTTGGAAGCATACGAACCACCGAAGAAGGCAAAGGGTAAATACAAATTTTCTGAAAACATTGCATTATTCGAGTTTAGTTGGTAATTCAGCGCACTCTGATTAGCAGAGGCATGTTTGCATGAGAGTATTGTAAAAAGTATTGCTGTACACATGCTAATCACACAAACAAGATTAAATTTTGTAAACGGTTTACCATATAGTTACTTCGCTCATTTCCTAGTCAGAAAAAAAATGAAAAATCTTTAGAAACAGGCTATATCATATTTTCCTGTCAACATTGTATCAGGAAAAACCAAAACTTGGGAAACATCTTTTGGCCAAAACAAAAACTGAGCAAGCATACAAAACTCTTATGCACAACACTTGGCAGCTGGTTACAATTTTTCTTTAAATTATTGCCATAAATAATATAATAAAGAGTTTTCCTTTTTCTCTCTCTAAAAAATACGTTTTTTACAAGGAAATACCAATAGAAACCTTTTTCCACAGCGTATGCATAGTCTGATGTAAAACCTCAAAGGGTTGGGAGAATTCTCAATAGCTATGAAAATCCCATTCAATTCTCCCTCTCATGATAATATCAGGTAAATCCTTTGTAGTAATCTGTCCATTTTGTTTCATAGAGGAAAATCCCCCAAACCAGCGCAGAATTGCGAAACTCAAAGAAACGGGGACACAAGCCTTCTGCAGGGAAAGAAACCCGAAGAATCATGAAGAGAGGAGACTAAGCCCGCCAACTCCTCCAAAACCAGTAAGTTATTCTGTCCGACTCTTGCTACAGTTGGAAGTAAAATTGGCCACAGGGAGGAGTGGGGAATTTGCAAATTAATCATAAGATTCACTCCTACTTAAACCATGATGTTGATTTGGAATCGATGGGGGTTGATAACTTTGCTGTCATCTTGCTCTTAAATTACAGAAAACGACGGGGACACTGGATATTCCGACCATGTTGACAGAATGGGAAGATTGAATCTCCCAGGATGTGGCACACCTGGACATCAGGTCCTGCCGGGTGGCACCGGGACCGGACGGGGTTTACCCCATCCAGTTCCAGTGCCCGTTCGATGGCTTTGAGCCCATCTTCTCGAATGCCTCGGACTATGAAAGGCATGTCACAGTCCAGAAACATCCCAAAAAGAGGAAGGGGGATGCCAAGAACTGGCTTTGCCGAGGTAGACATACTAGAGTACTGTACAAAAAAAGAAGGAAATGAGATGGTCATTTTACTGACAATGGGAGTGATGATATGTGGCAAGCCATTTACTTTCAAATCAATGCGTAACTCTGGAAAGCTAGAAGTTTGTTGCATTTATGCAATTGTCTGAAGACAAAATCAATTTGCATTATGTTGAGTGAAAAAGGAAACTGGGAAATAATGTCTGCGTTTACTTCTCTCACGAGTGGACGGCAACACTTTCACCTCACCCGACGGTCTTAGGGTGCATATCAAGGAAACCCATCTTCCAAAGAGGCACGCATGCAGCCTATGAGGCTATACCACAAATTGTGTCGGCCACCTTGGGCGCTACATCAAGGGGAAACATGAGGGCCACCTGCAGGTAGTCAGAAATTGGAGTTACCAGTACTGGAGCAGTGAACCATCTCGAAGAGGTTATCATGAAATCTAGTTCCCAGGCTCCTGAGGACTGAGACGAGCCAGGCTGTAATTTTCTCATAGAGCTTCTTCCGCTCCTTGGACCCACGCAGCAACTGAAAATGGGGGAAATTTTATCGATAATGAAAGTGAGACGAGCCTGGTTGTACTTCTGCTCACGGGGTTTCTCCCACTCCTGGACCCAACCATTCCAATTTCCATTTAATTCACACAATTTTCCACTTAACTTATTTTTTAGCAGACTTGATTGTGAGAATAAGTTTTGATTTGTGAAAGATGATTTTGCAAAAACAGATATTATTCTTTTACTATTTCTGTTTTAATCTTATTTCATAATAATTATTATTATATATGGGTTTCAACTCTCACCCTTTGGATCTGAAGTCTTTTCATTCATTGGCCTGGGCAAAGAGAGGGAAACGATTGTCAGACTTGAATGCAAGCATTAATCACCTTGAGGCAAGACATTTCCAACTGTCCATCGTTCCCAATATCGTTATTTCCTTTGTTAGGCTAAAATAATTACTGAAATCAAATGTTGTTCAACACCTCTGTTCCCCTACCGTCAATCACTGCCAAAATTAATGTACAATGCACTGTTCTGGGCTGTTCATAGAGTGGGGAACACCAAGAAAAGAAAAGCCACCAAGCTGGGATGTGAGTTTTTTGAGAGAAAATGTAAACATGCATGGCTGCATAGGCATGGCTGCCTCACCAACCTGGACGTGCACAAACAGCATCCGCGCTTACAACAAATTAAGTGTCAGTTCTGTGACAAATTGATTGACCATTTCAACTGGGTATGGATAGGTAACGCACAACTATTATTAAAACATGACACTAACTTGCACTCCTTTAATCACCATATATTTTGATCTCCTTTTAAGCTTTTCAGCATTCAAATATACAAATTTAATGGCCAAGTTTCTGTCTTTTGGTAACTGATGACGGGTTGTTCTAATATATTCTGTGTAGTAATTGAATTTATAGATTATTTTAACATAAGAATTATGGTTACTATTTATCATAACATATTTATTTATTGTCATATAGTACATACCTAGTTTGAGTAAGTATTTACTAATAAGTACTTCAAATATATTTTAATTTGAGGATTTTTATAATTACATAATTTCTTAATTTTTAGGATACAGGAAGTGTCCCTAATTATTACTTAATTTGTAACTCCTATAAGTCTTAAAACTTTCGAAAAAATATCTATTTTTATTTCTCTCAGCTAAGGACGGCAAAAGCTCATAATTATAAGCTCTTAAAAAATGGACTATTATATGGTTCTATATAAATGCCTCACATCTCCACAAAAGACAATCAGGGCACTCAGACATGACATGGTAAAAAAAGGGTACCCCAAAAAGAGACAAGACATTTATCCCTGGAATTGGAATACCACAGAAACCCAATCCATACCGGCCAACCATGCAAGGCACCTGGGCCAACACTTCAATCATGACAGCTATAAACAAGAAGTAAAGACATCTCAACACACACAGTGACAAAAAATTCCAATAAAAGTTTCTTTTTTCCTCCATTTTAATCCATGCAACTTTTTAATTCTCCCTCTCCTGTTAACAGCAAGTAATTTTCTTACCCTCCAAATTTACCATTGATTAATTGTAAGCAAATGATTTGTTGTGTTCTGTCCATTTTGATTCATAGAGGAAAATCCACCGATCCAGCAGAATGGCAAGCCTAAAAGCCACGGCCACTCAAGCATTCAGTCGAGACAGAAAACATGAAAAATCACGAGGAGAAGAGAGTACAGCCGCTCACTCTTCCAAAACCAGTAAGATATTCTGTCAGACGTTTGCTACAGTCTCAAATTAATTGGCCACAGCGGGAATTCGTATCTGGCAAATTAATGATTAGATTTATTTCTACTTAAGTCATGATGATAACTTGGAATCGATGGGGATTGATAACTTTGCTATTATCTTATTCTTCAATTATAGAAAACAACAAGGACACTATTGTCTTGGTGTCTTGGCCATGTTGGCAGAATGAGAGGAATAGAAGAGATCCCTGAAGATGAGGCCCACCTGGACATAAGGTTCATGACGTGGGTGGCACCAGGGCACCAGGAAAGGTAAGAAATGTGAAGTGGCACAGTCATTTTTACACAATCAATTAGTTCATTCCAGCATACAAATACAAAAATTGATATTTCATTTATATACCTTCTGCTAATATATATAAAAGTCTATCTTACATTATGTTGTAAACTTGAAAAGTTACACGTATAGACGGAAAAAATCTTGTCAAAGAAAAGGTTATTCTTTTTATCAACTCATGAAGTAACCAAATAACAACACAATTACATTGTTTTCCAGCTCAAGTCAATCATAGATGCCAGAAACCTCTATTTGGTATGGCACGGAGGGGCCCAACCAAGGGAGCTGGCTAAGCTTCCACTGTCAATATTGAATGTAAAGGCTTTCTGCATGTCGTGTGGTCGTGCAGGATTTTCATTCACGAGAATTACCAATAATATTTTTCTCTGCGTGTGGGTAGGATTTCGTCATCAATGAACATTTTCAACTTTTTATAACCTTTCAAATGAACATCCTAGCCTGGCAAGTGCCAATCCATCGAATTTAATGGCCCTACTGATTTCTGGACTTCAGCGGTGTGAAACAGTTACATTTGGCAGCTGTAATCATTCCAGTCCTAAAGGCACAACGTTACTCAGCTGATTACAATTAACGATGCCAATCGTTTATGGATTTGTCTTCACCAGTTCCATGGAATTAACCCTGCAGATACTGAAAGGGTATCATAACGGTCAATAACTTACATTAACAAAAAATGTAATGCACAAGTTGGACACACCGGGTTTCCTAGATTGACTGTGTAATCACACTCTTGCTCCTTTTTCAGGGCTTTGCAACAAGATTTGCACTTTTGGTCGCCATGGAGAATGGCGGTCGATTCTCC